CATATAGCATCCGAATAACATACTAGTACAGGATGGGCATATGGTGATCTCGGATTTTGGTTGTTCGTCAAGTTTGGTCCACCTCAACGAAATGATTCCTTTCATCGAACCTCTCTACCTAAAGGACCAATCCTATTGCCTGGATAGGCGGTCCGACATTTACAGTTTTGGTGGGATCATGTCCGAATTGTCATGTGGTCGACCACCATTCGAGTTGTTTGGGTCAAATTATCAATTATTGATCAATCTCATTGTCAACGGTGACAGAGACTCATCAGTAATTTCCGGTGCACCGGTCTCATACACTCAACTATACCGACGGTGTTGGGATGCAGATCCGTCAAAACGACCGACCATAGAAAATGTGATGAAACTGCTCACCGACATTCGATCGGAATTCCCAAAAGTCCTCACCAAACCACCGGCAGACATCCCACATCAAGCGAACCCACGTCACCATGCCATCAAAAACATTCAATCCTTGTCTGTACCTGCGATTTCGCCGCGTGTAGATTCCATAGGATGGAGGGATTCGATGGGTGATTTTTCCGAGTATGATGTCATTAGCAAGGAGGAAGTGAAAGGATATTCGGGATCCACGAGAAAAGTAAACTCGGTACCTCTGGTGAGTGCTGCTTAGCGTGTTTTCTGATAAATTAACGACTCCCTGATCTAATCGTTATCTATCTATCTATCTACTTAATCAAGGTCGGTGGTGTGTCACTAAATTCACGACGTCGCGTAAAGGCACGTAGCCTAAGCTTCGGAACACCCAGAAAATCTTTGCAAGTGCAAAGGGCACATGAAAGTGCCCATTTGCAACTTCATCATTCGATGTCGATGATCGGAGGAATCAACAACGAATATCTCAACATAGGCGCCAACGCGCCGTTGTTTGATAATAATCAGCCAAAAGTAATCCTGATCGCACGATATTGTCCAGGCAAGAGCATCGTGAAAGTGTTTGACCAGCTAAAAAGGCGTAAGATAGATCTTAGGTCACGCGAAGCCTATAAATCCAAGTCGGTGTTTCATAGTTTAATCTGGAATGATGATTTATTCGAAGTGACTGGCATAAATCATTCTCAACAAAAACCGGCAAGACACAGCAACTTCCGAGCCGCCTTGAAATGGTTGATTTCCAATAATTTGGATATAAATTCCGTGGACGATTTTGGATGGACGGCATTGCACGAGGCAATCTGGAAGCGTAAAGAACCAGGTGTGATATTGGCATTATTGGAGAACCAAGCTAACCCAAATATACCGGACAAACTTGGTGCCACACCGTTGCACCAATGCTTGGATTTGCTGCGCACGACAACACGCGATGACGAAAACCGACACATATTTACCATAATAAAGCTTCTACTGCAATACGGAGCTGATCCAAATTTGGCGTTGCCGGACACCACACTCACAATCTCCGGATCATCATTTCCAAACTGTCTGTTTGCCGCGATTTATATGGATCTACCGTTGGATATCATCGAATTGATGATTAAGCAAGGGGCGGATACCACATCAACAACATTTCGAGGATTACATTTACTAGATTTCGCGGCGAAGATGAATAACGTGGTGGCATTAAATTACCTGACGGATAATAAGAACTCTTCGAATATCAGCAAGAGGTCAAGTATATTTAATTCGTTGAGGATAAACTCACGAGTGGGATCGATGGGGTCCATTCCGATCAAGTATGAGAAAGGTGGTAGGAAGAAAAGGTGGAGCATCATACGTTCAATATAGACGCGAAGAGAAGAACAATTTATTGGTGGTCAGTGAGTGAGTGATGAGGTAGTTTAGTAGTAGGGAATTGTATTTTCTATGGTCTCATAGATCGGTTCCTTTATGCCGCACACAACCAACCAACCATCATAAATTTCCAACTTTAACTTATGGTAATACTAATCGAGATTATAACTACAGTATATATATTCTATATGATTTACATTTGTACATATTTGTAATTTGACCTCTTTGAAAATCTCACTTTAAAGACAAGACATTATGAGAACCGCAAAAAAAAAAAAAAAAAAACTCTTATAGAAAATTATTTTATTCATTCCAGTCGCAATAATTTTTATTAGCTTCGTTCTTTATTTCTATCTATCTTTATTACATACATCACATTGTTTTCATCAAACTCTTTAATACAAATAAGCTCTCATTCACTGTTCAATATGCAATCAATCTCGAATTATATATTCAATATAGACGGCTGTTTTCATTTTTTTTGTTTCCAAATAAAATATCCGATAAAGGGATGTGCCATATTGCTCAATAAAATGTGATGTTTTATGTTATCGCGTGGCTTTTTGATATGAGTAGTGCTTGCGATGCAATGTTGGGCTTAGAGAAACGACTTTTTTTTTTTTTCAAACGCAACGCCTCCGGAAAAATAGGAAGTTTACACGTGAGAAACTCGAAGGAAATTTCGAAGCTGGCTTGTGATCCTGCTTCACAGGATTCAAATCTGGTCTGAAAACTAGTCTCTGACAAATTAGAGTACCACCATGCCCGTCAATCATGTTGTCGCACATGTAGCGGATAACTTTAACTTTCTTTTGCAAGCCATAATGAATCACAAAGTACAATATGAGTTTCGTTGTTGTCGTCGTCCTTATAACGCCTTTGGCTGATTTCGTTTTCTGAATCACAATGAGTATGTTGACAATGGATTTATTAAAACTAAAATTGGAAGTTGAATGAACATTTATTGGGGGGGTTCTTACAATAAATTCAAAAAAAAAAACTTGTATGTTAGGATTGTTATCTAACAATTTTTTTTTTTTCTTTAATATTAAATTCCTTTTCTTTTTTTCGTGGAGGCCAGATTGCTATTTAAAAAATCAAATACCAGAGGTCAATCAAAACCTCGGTGATACAGTGCTACATATTAAGGAATGAATGGAAATACTAGCCAAAATGAACCAAAGCACAAGGATAAACAAATGTGTTAATCATCCGGTCACGTTGAAAAAGTGTTTTCCGTATTTGTGAAAATACTTGATGAAATCCGGACATGCGTGTTTACGTTTAGTAGAATCGATCAGTTATTGATCAAGAGATCCTTTTTTGTGCACAGTACTTCCACCCGCAATGAACGAGAGAATGAGATCACTGATATTATTGTCTCATTTTGGTTCATACATGTACTCAACATACCAACCATAATAGGACAAATTCGAGGAGCACATGACTTGATGCTTGCATAAAACTCTGTGTAAAATTAGCAAACAGCGTGATTATGTCATATTGTATAACACGGCATTACGTAAGTAAGATACACCTCGGTTGCGAACTTTAAATTTTTTTGAATCGTTCCGTTGAAAGCCGATAGTTGAATGTGAATGCTCAATAAGAAGAAAAACCCTCTCTAATAGTTAATCTTAACGATTAACAGAATAAAAGGAGGTTGGTAACATTTCTTATTGCTAAGTACAGGTGTGAAAGGAGTAAAAAATGTTACACGCGGGCTAGGGAAATATGCATGTGTACATTAATAAAAAAACATTTACATTTAAAATATCACTCATTAAGTTACTCCTCGGTTCATCCTCTATATTCTGATATGGAAATGTCATAGCGAATGCTGTATTGATTCTCACGCGACTGCCGTGAACGCTTCACGCAACTTTGTCATTCTTGCGCGACGATAGCGTCGAGTGTGCAAGGTGTTATCTAATACAGTAGATGAACCATTTAACATCTAAGAAATCGTGACACGTAACCACGTCTTCATCAGAAATATTTCTATGTTACATTCAATTCGGTTCCACTGTTGTTGAGTTAATTATGAGGGTCACTTCAACAAGGAAGGGCGTGATGATGTGACACATTATATAATCAAATGCGCAGACGAGAAGTATTTTAAGGAAGGAACGCGAGCTCCGCGTATCATTCTTTAAAATTTCCAAATAAAGGGAAACCCCCTATTCTATTTAAGAATTTTCTGCAAGTCGATGCACGTGATCGAAGATTTGTTTCGCGAAGACTAAACAGCTGTTGACATACACGTGTTGTGCTAATAACAGTGGGAAAATTTAGGAGCAAAACATTAGGGACAACGGTGAGTATTTAGTATGCGTAAAGAATGGAAAAAATTTGAAGCTCACACATCTCTTAGAGAAAAACGAAAAGAAAAAAATAGGCGTCGATCAAGTTAGCTCCTCGAATTACCGTTTTTTACTGATCACACGAAAATCTTGTCAAAGACTAGTAATAAGCTCGACGTTCAGCTTGTACACAATTCAACAGTGAATTATTTATGAGCATTCAATATCTTTTTAACTTGATTGTTCCAAGTTTCATTTGTCATGTTCATCAAATATACTGAATTATCTTTTATCGTATTTCACAATACGCTTAATGGCCCCCATCATCATCCATCTAACCATTTTCGAATTTTTATCTCGACGCATTTCAGAAATCATGGTATTCATTAAAGTACAGTATCTTCTGTCTTTTGTTAAACCGTTAATTTGAACTTTATTCTAAAATTAATATGGTTGCGATTGAAAACACGTGATCATAGACGAAACACGTAAATGATAGTACTTACTTCTCTTTTCATCTTTTAAACACCATGATCTTTTATAGCTAATAATACTCGCAACTTGCCAAAATCAATTGCCTGATACTGTTGATACATCAATTCCAGCGTTTACGCTATATGTCAATGACTAAAAACATTTAAGACAATGAGGTGTTGTTGTTTATTTCTTTTTAACTCAATTCTACTTACCTTAAAAGTGAAGGCCGAAAATTGCCAAAATTTGCATGAGCACGGATTGGAATGGCAACAAACTTGTCATTCAAGGTTAGCATTCTGATGATATGTGAATTTTACAAAATAACGAGTACGGATCATGGATATTTTATTGTTGTAGATTATGATATTTCCTATTAACGATTGTGCAAAAGAACAAATAATAACATATCGTAAAGAATTACGAGTTTTGATAAAAGATTGATATTCAAAAATATCTGGTTAGTGTGTTTTGTTATCATGTTACATTTAATGATCTATTTCTTAAACAACCTTCAAAAATATATTAATATTCTCAGTTTCCTTTTAACAGTGTTGTATTTAATTTTTGTTCAAGATTTACATTACCTTTTATTAGTAAAATATCTTTATTCTAGGAATGTTTTCATTTATTGCTACATTTTCATCCACAATTCCTAAATTTTTTTGATGCTTTTATTAATCTTTGATCAAAAAATAAAAATACAAATTAATTATTATCTCCATTATATAAATAATCTATAAAAATACATAAATAGAAATACATATTATTAATACACACAGTAAGTCCTTATTGGTTCTTCTGGAAGGTCTTATGTACTATAAATATAAAATAAAAGAAAAATAATAATATAATAAATGTTACGTGCACTTAATAATAATGTTCTGTTTCCCCAATAAGTATAAATGTAATAAACACAATGATTAATAATAGTCTGAAAAGTTCCATAATATTCCAGGAGGTTTCAGGGTATTCCACAAGGTCCCAAGAAGTTCCGGGATGTTCTATAGTATTCTGGAGTATTTCAGGATGTCCCAAGGATTTCCGGTCATATGGAATGTGGTACAGTAAAAGCAGAAAAATTGTTATATTCTTCTCTCCTTAAGAGAAAATATCCTTGTCAATTCAAATTTCTTGACTTTTTCACTAATATTGATAAGATTTTTCACAGGTTCCCAAGTTGCATCATGTAATAGATATCCCATCTATTTAATCAAGTATTGTAGTCTTCTTCAGACAGTCCTTTTGTTCAAAATGGTTTTTACTTCATATTTCTTAGTATTGATTTCAGATATAAAGATTGATTAAAGTAAAGTTATTCTCTCAAAATCTATGGGTATTTCCTCATATGGTTTTGGCAAAGATATATGAAAAATAGGATGAATCCTTAAAACAGATGGCAAGTTTAGCTTGTATACAGTGGTGGAGATAACTTCAGTGACAATATAAGGTCTGATAAATCTTGGAGAGCGTTTTCTTGTAGGATGGTTTTTTTCTATAGAATTGTTAATATTTTTATTGGAAAGCAAAACCTTGTTTTCTACTTTAAATTTTAGATAGTGATAATGTTAATTAGCATATTTCACTTGTTGATCCTGTGCTTCCAAGAGTGAGTCCTAAGAGATTTTGATTATGTTATCCTAGTGATTAATGAATTTAGTGATGGCAGGTATTGTGTTAAATACTTTTTGTATGATGGTGATTGGTGTATTTTGGTATTGTTCACAATCCAACTCAAATGGTGTGAATCCTGTTAAAGCTTGTTTGAAGTTGTTATAGTCAAATTTTATGGCAAGCAGATACTCATCCTATATATTTTGATTATAAATGGTATAGATCCTTAGCATTTTCTTTAGAGTTCTGTTAAGATGCTCAGTTTGTGTATCAGTTTGGAGATGAAAGGCAGTTGACATCAATAGCTTGGTCTCTAATTGTTCAAAGAGACTTCTTCAGAAATGGTTGATATATTTAGTATTATGGTTAAATACAATTACCTTTGACAATCCATGATTCCTAAAGATAGTGTTGAAGAAAATTTTTACAATCTCAGGGCAGTTACTGTTATATGCGTGAATTGAAAGATAGCTCATTTAATGAGATAGTCAGTGAACACTATAATGGCATCATTTTCTTGTCATGTTAGCAGCAGTTGAACTATGAAATCCATGAAGATATGCTTCTAATGCTTTATTGATAATTCCAGGGGTTGTAGAAATC